AGGCATGTGCCCTGACTGGGAATCGAACTGGCAGCCTCCTGGTGCATGGGTCGATGCTCAACCACTAAGCCACTAGCTGGGCCAGGGCCTACTTAAAAAAAAATTCCTTTGGATATACAAGCAGCCTGTATAGAAATATAAAATTTGACTAAGTGTGAATTGCCTTTTCCCTTGCTTTCTTCAGGGTTATCTGAGGTTAATATGAAAGGGCTGGGAGTTTGGACTAGGGAGGAGAATGGAAACAGTGCAGACAGACAGAAGGAGAAGGGTAACCTGGAAAGGACTGGACAAGGGTGGGACCTGCCATTTTGAGTGCTGAAGGTGTGGACACGAAAACAAAAAGGCCCCTCCCTTTGAGTACCTTTTCTACCAGGCTTGCTTCCTTGAATATAAAGTCTCCTGGCTACAAATTAGAATAACCTGGGGGCTATTGAGATTGTTCAGTCTCAATACCAATTTGATTTCATTCAGAATCTCAGGAATGGGACCTCACATCAGTATTTTATTAATTTTTTGCTTTATTGAGGTAATACAATAAATTCATTTGTTTTAAATACGCAGTTTGAACAATTTTGGTAACTGCCAACAGTCATGCAATCTCCACAATAAACAAGCTGTAAAACAGCTCCATCGCCCTGAACAGTTCCCTCCTGCCCTTGCTGCAGACAATGCCATTTCCTGACACCCAGTTTTCTAGCATTTCTGTCATTACAGTTTGCCTTTTCTAGAGTTTTACATGAATGAATGTAATCTTTGGTATTTGAATGAGTGCTGAAACTTAGCATAATGTTTTTGAGTTTCACCTATGTTATGTGTATTTATATTTTCTTCCTTCTCTCCCCCTTCTCCAGAGTCAAAAAGAAGCATTTTAATGTACTTCACCACATACAACCCTCATCATAGTATCGTGCCAGAGTATTATTACCATTTTGCAGATAAAGAAATTATGGTTTGATGAGCTTGAGAGAGTTGGTAAAGGTAACATAATTCCTTCATTTTTATTGCTGAGCAGTATTCCATACTATGAATATACCCCTCTCCAGTTGTTTATCCATTCTCTAGTTGATGGACATTTGGGTTGTCTTTGTGTAGACATAAATTTTCATTTCTGTAAAAAAAATTCGTAGGAACAGGATTGTTAGGTCGTATGACAACTGTACGTTGAACTTTATAAGATATTTCTATACAATGATTTCCAAACTGGCTGTACCATTTTCCATGACCACCAACAACGTAAGCAAGTTCCATTGCCCTTTCATTTAGTGTTGTCAACCTTTTCATTTTAGCCATTTTGAAGGGTGTGCAACAGTATCTTGTTGTGGTTTTAATTTGCATTTCCCTGACGACTAGTGATGTATAGCATTCTTTGGCCATTTATGTGTTTTTTATGAAGTGTCTGTAAAATTTTTTTTGTTCTATTTTTTATTGGATGTTTTTCTTGTAATTGAGTTATAATAGTTCTTTATATTCTTTGTTTTTTTAAAACATTTTTTCTTTATTGATTTTATTGATTTTTTTATTTTTATTGCTTTTAGAGAGAGAGGAAAGGAGAGGGAGAGAGAGAGATGGAAACATCAATGAGAGAGAACATCAAATGGCCACCTCCTGCATGCCCCCACTGGGGATCGGGCCCACAACCTGGGCATGTGCCCTGATCAGGAATCTAACCTGCGACCTCTAGGTGCATGGGTCGACGCTCAACCATGAGCCACACCGGCTGGACTCTTTATATTCTTTATTCAAGTCTCTTGTCAGATACATGTTTTGCAAATAATATTCTCCTAGTCTGTGGCTTGCCTTTTCATTTTCGTATCTATGACTTTTGAACAGTGAATTTTTATTTTTATTTTGCTTAAGTACATTTTATTAATTTTTTAATAGTTTGTACTTTTTGTATTTTGTTTAAGAAAACTTTGCCTAACACAATGCCACAAAGATTTCTCCTGCTGTTATTGTTTTTATTTTTTTTTCTCTAGAATCTTAATACTTTTAGGTCTTATATTTTGGTCTGCAATGCACTTTTAGTTAATTTTGGAATGTGAACAGGATAAGAGTAGGGGCCATTTTTTTCCATGTAGGTATCTAGTTATTGAAACACAATTTAGCAAAGAGACTTTTTTTCCCCGCCAAAGTGTTTCGGCAGCTTTGTAAAAGTTGAGTTAGTTGTAAGAGGTCCTTATATATTTTGGATATTAACCCCTTATCAGATAAATGGTTTGCAAATATTTTTTCCCATTCCACAGGTGGCCTTTTCATTTTGTTGACGTTGTTTTCTCTACAGAAGCTTTCTGGTTTGATGCATTCCCACTTATTTGTATTTGTTTTTGTTGTTTGTGCTTTTGGTGTCATATCCAAAAAACTGTTGCCAAGACCAGTGTTAAGGAGTTTTATTCTGATGTTTTCTTTCAGAAGTTTTATGGTTTCAGGTCATGTTTAAGGTCTTAATCCATTTAACTTTTGTGGTAGTGTAAGATAGGGGTCCAAATTCATTCTTATGCATGTGATGAACCAATTTTTCTAGCACCATTTATTGAAGAGACTATCCTTTCCCCATTGAGTATTCTTTTTTTTTTTTTTTATCCTCACTCGAGGACGTTTTTGCATCTATTTTCAGATAGAGCAGGAAGGAGAGACGGAGGAAGAGAAAGAGAGAAACATTAATGTGAGGGAGACACATCAACTGGTTGCCACCCACACAACCCCAACTGGGCCTGGGGACAAACTGCAACCGAGGTACATGCCCTTAGCGGGAACTGAACCTGAGACTCTCTGGTCTGCGGGCCAACGCTCTAACTGCTGAGCCAGACTGGCCAGGGCCCCTTGAGTATTCTTGACTCCCTTGTCAAATATTAGTTGAGCTATCTGCAAGGGTTTATTTCTAGGTTCTCAATTTAATTCTGTTCCATTGGTTTATGTGTCTATTTTTATGCCAGCACGATACTGCTTTGATGACTATGGCTTTGTAATATAGCTTGAGACCAGGAATGTGATGCATCCAGCTTTGCTCTTCTTTCTCAAGATTGCTTTGACTAATTGGGGTCAGTTGTGTTTCTATACACTAACAAGAAAATATTTGATCCTTTTTCACAACATTGGATCAGTTATGTGACATTCAGTCTTGGAGGGGATTTCTACCCAGATAGTGTCTACAGCTGTAAGTATTTTGTTGCCTTCCCCCAGTTTTATAACTAGAACAGCCAGATGGAAGAGATGCATAGGACAAGGGACAGGGGAAGGGTGAGGAGCTTCCCTGTCTCTCGTCCCACCCCCACCCTGCCTTGTTTGTCATAATTTATTTGTTAAAGAAATTAGGTGGTCTGGCCTGTGAAGTCTCCCATAGTTTGTATTTTGTTGATAGTAACCCTGTGGTATGTCCCTTTGGTGAACTTCTAGTTAGATCTAGAGTCTCAATTAGATTTATGTTGGGGAGGAGGTAAGACTGCTTCCCAGATGGAGTTCTGTTCTTCCCTCAGAAGGCACATCATGCCATCACATCTAGCTTTGTCTCTACTTGTGATGTCAGCAGCCACTGTGATGGCAAATGGTGTTATGCCATCATTCCTTCTTCATGCAGTAGCTTCATGGAGATTGTCTATATGGAGAAGCTTCTCCTCATCAACTATTTGGTGCAGTTCATAAAGGAAACACATGACAAATGCTTGACTCTTTACCTTTATTTCCAGTTATTTCAAATAATGAGTTAGTGCCCTTGAAAGGTAACCAGTGAGGTTTTCTTTTGTTTTGAATTGTTTTTAGTATAATGATAAAGTCAGGGATTTAAATGCATTTATGCATTTTGTTCCACTTTTGTTATAGTCTTTATGGATGTTCAGATTGTCCCATCTGTGGCCAGTGGAGCCTCTTCAAGTTGCCTTTCAAAGCTGTATTTTAAATTTATTTGAATTTTTTTTCTTTATTGATTTTTAGAGAGAGAGGAAGGGAGAGGGCAAGAGAGAGAGAAACATTGATGAGAGAGAACATCGATTGGCCTCCTCCTGCATGCCCTCCACCGGGGATTTGGCCCACAACCTGGGCATGTGCGCTGACCAGAAATTGAACTAGCGACCTCTTGGTGCATGGATTGATGCTCAACCACTGAGCCACACCAACTAGGCTAAATTTATTTTGTATTTTTTTTATTTTGTTAATCCTTACCCGAGGATACTTTTTCCACTGATTTTTAGGTAGAGTGGAAGGGAGGGAAAGGGAGAGACAAACATCAATATGAGAGAGACACATCAATTAGTTGCCTCCTGCATGACCCCAAGCAAGGCCAGGGATGGAAGCTGCAAACCAGGTACCTGCCCTTGTCTGGGAATCAAACCCATGACGCTTTGGTGTGAGGGTGATGCTCTAACCACTGAGCAGCAATGGCCAGGGCTTGAAGCCTTTTGACATCAGTCTAATGATCTTTGATAGCTTTGCTGCTTTCTTGTTTGGCAAGATGTTCAAGGCTTATCTTGTGTATTTCCTGTCCCAGAAATAAAGTCAGACATTTCTCCAAAGATCCCTGGTTCCTTTTCGTGGGAAATTACATTTGGAGACCTCAATCAGGACATTAGAGGCGATTATTTCTATTGAATTGGTCATTGGTTATTCGCCTTTTCAGTGGACAAAGCTAGAAAATATATATACTACTCATGACATAGTTTAAATATATATTTAATATTTTCGACCAAATTTTTACTTAATCTCATAGATACCACTTTCTCCTTTTTCTCCTCAAAAAAGAGCCCCTCACCCTGGTCAGCATGGCTCAGTTAGTTGAATGTCTTCCATGCACTGAATGGTCACCAGTTTGATGCTGGGTCGGGGCACATGCCCAGGTTGTGGGCCCGGTCCAGTTGGGGTGCCCATGGGAGGCAACCAACTGCTGTTTCCCTCTTACATCGGAGTTTTTCTCTCTCCTCCCCTCCCTTCCTCTCTTTCTAAAATCAATAAAAATACTTTAAAAAAAGAGCTCCTCTTCTCAATAATACTAATTTGATTACTCATACAATAGCCTCATGGGATTCATCATTAATTTGCATATCATCTGTGCCCAGAGACCATGCCAATCATTTGTGTGTCATTCTAAATTTAGTATATGTGCTGCCAAAGTGAGAACAAACTTTATGATCTTTACCAGTCTGAAAGGTGAAAAATTGTATCTCATTCTGGTTTTGGTTTGCATTTCTTTGGTAATTAATAAGTCTAAGGGTGTGTCTTTTTAATACAGACAAGTCCCTCATTAAGCCTTTCCCCCAAAATTGTTGGTATTCTCCAGAATAGCATTTCCCAAACTTCAGACACCTTTGTAGTATGTTTTTTCTTAACTAACAAATCACCCATTATTATTATTCTTTTAAACATGTTTTTATTAATTATAGAGAGACAGAAAGGGAGAGGGAGAGAGAGAAACATCAATAGGCTGCCTCCTGTACAGTGCCCTGACCGGGAATCAAACTGGCAACCTCCTGTGCATGGGACGGTGCTCAACCAACTGAGCCACACGAGTCAGAGCAAAATCACCCATTATTTACTGAGTATGTTTTTGGTTACTGAACCCCCCTGCAAAGCAGTCATATATAAGCATAATAAACATTAATACATTTGGTGTCTAGTTATATACTTCCCTAGTACACATTAGCATAAATATATGACTCTTAAAGTAAAATAGTTGGTCCCACCTGAAATCATCTCATGTACCCACCTGTGGGGTGAGCACCATGCTCTGGGAATCAGTGCCCTATAGGCTTTGGCACTGTCCCTGCACAGAATGAGAGATGTCAGTCATTGCCCCATGTCAACGTATCTTTCATAAGAAAGACTAGGTCTGAGGAAAGCAGACCCAGTACCTACCCTCACTTGGTAAAGAGGCAGCTGCACAATAACAGTGTACTGTTACCACTTGATGTGAAGAAGAGGATGTGGGCCTTGATTTGCAAAACTGCTGTGATACCAGCTGGGTACCTTGGAGAAACCACATTGCCACTCCAGCCCTCAGTTTCCTCATCCGTAAAATGGGGAAGTTGGAGTACGTGATTGGAAGTCCCATCCCAGTCAGAAGGCGAGGTTTGTAACCCTTCCAGCTTCATGCAGAGAGTTCCTAGTTTAGAATTCAGAACAGTGGTCCTTTACAGCCATTCCTTTTCTCCCATCTGGGTTCTCTGGTCAGGACTGGTGGAGGGTGGTCCCGGTCCATGCCAGCAAGCCTCTCCTTGGTGTCACTGACAGAGGACTCACACCCAAGGAGCTAACCAGCCCCTACGCACAGGAAGCACCAAAGGGTCGCTGAAGAGCTGAAGCCTGGAGTCCAGATCGTGGAGGAGCTGAGGTCAGGGCAGTGCGGGCTCTATGATCGTCACAGGAGGGACTGCCGTCAGGTAAACTGGGGCAGCCCAGGGCAGGGACTGAGCCCAGCAGGAAAGGGCACTGTGAAGTCCAGGAAAGACAATTCACTGAACCCCAGAGCAGGGTCCAGACAGGCGAGGACTAGTCACGTGTGTGTGTTTTCTAGAGAAACAGAGCACAGTGCTTACGAACCAGACAGCCTGAGCTTGACTATCACCCTCGGCCCGTACTCGTTATGTGGCCTTGGACAAGTCACTTAATGGCTTGTGCTTCAGTTTCCTCATCTGTAAAATAAGGATGATAGCATTGCTGACTTCGTAAGATGGAGATAAGGATTAAAAGGGTTTACACAGGAAAAACAGAGTGGGCATGAGCTTCAGTCCACGTGTGTCTAAGAGAGGAAGAAAGGAAAGGAGGGAAGGAAAAAGACAGCAGTTTAATCCAAGCTGTTTCCCCAGTGGGGTAGATGATCAGGATGGGGAGTGATCTCCAGCCCTGAGTTCTCGGAAGAAAATGGGATCCACAGAGGTAATTTTTCTCACAGAGCAAAGGCAACACAAAACAAACAAACAAACAAACAAACAAAACTGCCTGGAGGTATTTTGTTACTCAGACAGGGCCCAGAACTGAGGTCCCTGGCCTCACCCAACAAGGTATGTTTTGCTAAGAAAAGCAATACAGTGCCCGGCTGGTGTGGTTCAGTGGTTGAGCATTGACCCATGCACCAAGAGGTTGCCGGTTCAATTCCCAGTCAGGGCACATGCCCAGGTTGTGGGCCCGATCCCCAGTGGGGGGCATGCGGGAAGCAGCCAATCAATGTTCTCTCTCATTGATGTTTCTATCTCTCTCTCCCTTCCTCTATCAAATCAATAGAGAAAAAAAAATTAAGAAAAGAAAAGAACACACTGTTCAGTGGCGTGTGTGCCTCCTGTTATCTGTTTGAAGGAGCTCAGTTACCACAATGGTATCTTCTGTGGAGAATGACATGCAGCTCAGAGGGGTGCACACTGTACTTAATTTGCAGGACAGTTATGAGTTGTGGTGGGTTGTGTCACCTAGAAAGCAACAGATAGACGGTTGAGAGTGCCATTGGCTCAGACAGTTACATGTGCAGAGAAACGCATAAACTGCTCTGGACCATGAGTCAGGTAACCTGCTTGGGGTTCCCAATGGTCAGTGCTGGGGTCACCCAGGCAACCCAAGATCAACCGGTGCTCACGACCTTAGCATTGATAATCCCTTCCAGATGCACTGAAAAATAGGGCCCTTATGATTTGATTAAATTTAGTTTTAAACCCTAGCTTCTAGCTCTAGAGATCATCCATCATCTCTCTCTCTCTTTCATATCTATATCCCTCAGAGACCTAGCCTTTCCCCCAGATAATCAGCAATCTCAAGGCAACAGAAGACAATAGCCCAGACCTGACTCATGGTCACATGGTCAGGACTTCTGACAAGCTAAAGGACCTCTGACCTAAATTATGTTTCTGTGCTGAGCCCTCAGGTGGAATGACCTCCTGGCTAAGAACAGCGGGACTCCAGAAAAGACCTCAGAGCTGTCCTCTAGACCTGAAGAAATGATTCATACATCACCTTACCTCACCTCGGATGAATCAGCTCCCAGCTGGACCCCAAACCCCTCACGCACAGTGTCTTGTGATTTTGCCCTGTATTATCTGTAACCTCCATGCCATCAGGGAGTCAGATCTGTAGAGAATTAACCCCCGTCTCTGGATTGGCCAATTCAAAATGAAACTGTTTATCTTTCTATACTGCGAACTCCTTCTTGTGCATTTCTTTGGGCTGTATGAAGGCAGCCTTAAGGAAAAACACTGGGGTTCAGGTGGTGAGGTGGGCAGTCCCTGCCTGTGTATTCTCCAGCCCCCGCCCCGGTGGGTCTCCAGGCTCCCACGTAGCTGCTGCTCCGACCCCTTTGGTCTGGAGGCAGGAGCTGGGACAACTCCTTGTGACCGGGTTTTGTCCACCTGCCGCACTTCTCATTTGCAGTAGGGGAAATGAAAACATTCAGGAGGTTCTCTTTGGTTTTGTTTGGGGATGGCTACTGGTGAGTGACATGGGTGGCGACTCCAGGGAACATCCCCCCCACCACTATTACTTTTAGTTGGGTCCTTGAGGGACTCGTTTGATTTGGTTTGGATGTCCCCTTATTGGTTTGTATTAGGGAAGGGACCCTGAGAGGTTACAATTAGCAACTCGGATTGCTTACTGAAACTGCAGGTTATTTGGTGAGTCTGTGTCTGGTCGTGTGGGAGAGGGGCCAATTCCGACTGCATCTCAGCAGGCCTTGCCGCAGCCTAACTCCAGGCAATAGTTTGCTTCATCTCAACCAGACGGATCGACCCTCCTATGCACCCCCTTGAGGGGGTAATACTCAGGTTGGAGGCATGGCAAGAAGTTTGGGCCACCCAACCCTCGCGACCATCTTGTTGCCAGCTAGATTCTAAGAGGAAAATACAGTTTTGAAAGAGTCAAGGATAGTCATTTTGTCAAAAAGGTCGATAAAGTCTGAATGGATAGCAAGGGATAAAACTGAGAGAGACCAAGGAAGTGGTTAGAAGTTCTGTGGAAAGTAATTGTGAGAAAAAAATACTGTCATGGGGAACCTTATTTCTAACTGGGTCCCCCAACGCAGGTCCCTGAGGTACAGTTTACAAAACTGGGCCAAGTTTAACTGTGAACCAATGCAGAGAACAAGAACGCTCTTCCTTTGCCAGGAGGTATGGCCACAATATAATTTAGGATCAGGCAAACACTGGCCCGAAAATGGGTCCTTAAGTTTCACTACCATCATGCAAGTTGAGTTATTTTGTCAGAGAAGAAAAATGGGATGAAATCCCCTACATAGAAGCATGTACGCTTTTATTTCAGAATATGTCTGCTAAAATGAAATGCAAGATCATGCAGCAGATAGGTAAGTCAATTAGACCAGTTCTCCGGAGTCTGGGCGAATGAGGATGACTCATTCTTACTCCAGCATAATGCCCCTGTGGCTGCACAACTCCCCCACTTTATGGCGGGGATGCAGCTGGAGAGAGGGCTCTCCCGAACCTGGGAATAGCCTCCCACACCCAAAAGGCTATTCAATTTGGTCGGGGGATTCCTCCAATCCAGGCAGGGCAATTGCCACGGAGACAAGTGCCCCTCGGAGGACTTGGTGTCCATGGACAACGGGCAGGGATGGTGTGGACTTACACTCCCTTTATAACAGCTGACCTTTTTATTTTTTTATTTTTTTATATTTTATCCTCACCTGAGGACATTTTTCCTTTTTTTTTTTTTTTTGTTCAGATAGAGTGGGAGGGAAAGAGAGAGAAACATCGATGTGAAAGGGACACATCGAGTGGCTGCCACCCGCACGACCCAAGCAGGGCTGGGGACAAACTGCAACTGAGGTACGTGCCCTAAGCGGGAACCAAACCCGGGTCTCTCGGGACCGCACGCCAATGCTCTAACCACTGAGCAAAACCAGCCAGGGCAACATCTGACCTATTTAATTAAAAGAGTAAGATGCCTGCCGACAGGGGGGATCCAGGAAAGATGGAGAGTCTCTTTTTTATTTTATTTTATTTTTCATCCTCACTTGAGGACATTTTTTCATTTTTTTGCTCAGATAGAGTGGGAGGGAGAGAGAGGAAGAGAGAGAGAGAAACATCGGTGTGAAAGGGACATGCTGAATGGCTACCTCCGGCACGACCCCAACCAGGTCCGAGAACGAACCACAACCGAGGCACATGCCCTTGACCAGAATCGAAC